AATATAGATCAGATTGTTCCAGTGAATGTGATCTACTTGGATTTTGATAAGACATTTGATATGGTTCTACACAAAAGTTTATAGAAGTAGTTGTAAATGAAATATGTTCAAATTGGACAGAAGTGGCACATTAAGTGCCTCGGGGTTCTGTCCTGGATCCACTTCTCTTTAATCTATTCATAAATCATCTTGACGTGGGCATTGAAAGTCATGTCCTGGTGTTTGTAGATGACACAAAACTAAGTAATACAGTCTAAACCTGATATAAATTATGTACAGATGGATAAATGGGGAGTGGGCAGACAAGTGGCAGATTAAATTCAATACAGAAGAATGCAAAGCCATGCATTTTGGAATAAAGAACCTGCAAGAAACGTATAAATTAAACGGGGTTGATTTAGGGGTAACTGTAAATGAAAAGTACTTGGGAATAATTGTAGATAAACTAGGCAGCCATGTGCAATGCCGGATTTAATAGGTCTGCCATTTCAAATGCTACTAAGGTGCTGTTGTCATGGAGGGATATTGATTCATGTGACCAAAATATAATTTTATCTCTCTACAAATTAATTGGTAAGAGTTCGCCTTGAATATGAGTTGCAATTTTTGGGCACCAGTTTTAAATAAATATATTGCAGGACTAGAAAAAGTACAGATGCAAGCCACAAAATTAATAGAAAACATAAGTTATGAAGAAAGGCAGGGAAACTGCTTTTGTTTTCTTTAGAAAAAAAAAAAGATGTCTGAAATGATAGTACTATACAAATATATATAGGTTCACAATAAACTTCTAGGTACAAACCTGTTCATTAGCAGCATTATACAACAGAGAAGATGCCATCCATTGGGACTAGAAGAAAGGTGTTTCACCTTACAGCAGAGCAAAGAGCTCTTTATAGTATGTACAATAAAGATTTAGAATTCTCTATGCAAACAGGCTGTTTTATTATATTCTACAGATATTTTTTTTTAACGACTTATATGATTTTGGGGAAAACAGAATATTCAAATATATAATTAACATGCATATGAACATGTTGATCCAAGATGAAATTAACCTAGATTGCTATATAACTATTTAATGATAGATGCATCTTCTTTGAAATTCTAGCAATTTCACCTGTATTATTTCCTATAAAATTTCACAAACTCAAGGTGACCCACACTCATGATCAAAATCAGTTTAGAAATACATTGATTAATTATAGCTAAATTTATCACACTCTGGGCAGACTGCAGAGTAAATAGAAAGTAATTTTACATGTATTCGTAGGGAATACACTTACCCAATTACTCTGTACAATGGGCACACAAAACCCCAAATTAGAAGCAATGCAGGTTTAATCACAATTATATAAAGGTAGCCTGTGAGCCAATTAATAACACCATACAGAATATAGGAAGACAATGAAAATGATACAATCATAAATCTGGCTTATACAATCAGACCCACCTTTATAATAAAATTGTCTACAATGAGTCATTAATTCTGACCTTTCAGTTCACTATTAGTCTGAACCTTGAGAACATATGTGGAGGAAATCAGATCTGTGGGAACCTTTATTTGGATCATTTCACATAAATGTAAGGAGACTATTTTGTTAAAGGCAAACTAAAATTATGCATGATTTAGTGCTTTTTATGTCAACAAACTAAAAGTGAAAGGTATGCATTTTGTAAAGAAAATCACATCGGAATATCTGTCACTTGTTCAGATTAATTTAAAATCAATGTACTAAAACATTCTTTGTATTTACATTATCTGTTTATTATCTTTGATATATTTTACCTATACATTATGCATGTATCAATCTGATGACCCTTTTGTGTGTTTAGTAACCTATCTATCTGTCTGTCTGTCTACTGTGCAATAACAAGAAAATAGCTTATCTTAGTTGACATAATCTGGTCCTGTTGTATATCTAATAAATTATCTACCAATCTGTGCATCTATCCTTGAATCCATTCATCCTTATTTGATTCTAGTTATGGGCTGAAGGGAAATATTATGCAGAGAAGTAAAGATTTTATATAATCTAGGATAATTCTGTGATATTATACGTTTTAATACTTTATTATGTGTAATAGCCGTATCATTGAATTGTCACATTACATATTAGCTGCTTTATTCCCTGATAATATTTGTGTCTAATAATAAGGTTAACTAAGTTGTCAAATTGATTCAGGTTGTTCTACCTATTTTTTTTTAATCAAGTATCCACTATAAATACTAATCAGCCTAATATATAGTGGTTGATTTTTAATATTTTATTCATTATTGTGGACTTAGATTCTAATCAATAATCATCAGGTTTGGTTTGTTTTAATAAAAAAAAGAGCAAGGAACACAACGTTCCAAGTCCCTGTATAGCCGCCACACCCACCACCTCAAAACCTCCCCAAAAGGGGGGCAGTGGCTGCAGGGGTCACGCAGAGACCAACGTACCAGTATGAGACTCCAGCTGTCTCAGAGGGGCTTAACCCCAAATATAAACACAAGAACAAAGAAATATGCAGACCGTCTCAATTATATGAATGAAACTTACTGCATTGACTGGAAAAAATATATCTATGTATAGCGCGATGTTCCAAATATAGAACCTGGCTATTAGAAATAATATGGTCAGAGACCCTAATTAAACAAAGTATATACAAGTGAACCTACAATCCTATGCCAGCCCAGGGTAGTATAGATCAAGAGGTAGTAAAAAAGATAACCTCACTCCCCCTTATAATTAAGCTTTATTGTAATCTGCTATAGGGATAGGAGTATATAGTAGCTAAGTCTCTATAATCCATGCATCCTAGGAAGTATCCTGGTCACACTAGAAACATATTAAGAAAAACAGAGAGAGATAAGGACTGAAAATAGAAGTAAAAAAATCAGTCAAAAACAGACTGATAATTAGCATTAATAAAGCCTCTCTCCCTGTAAAGCTAGCTAGATAGGCATAGGAAAGAAAAGAAGAAAACGATATAAAATAAAGTTAAATTAAATGGTGATCATGGTGCTCCAAACACCAGTGCCCCAGTGACGAAGGTGCATCTCTCTGCACCGAAACGTACGTTGGGCGTTTTTTCTGCACTGGGCACTGGTGTTTGGAGCACCATGATCACCATTTAATTTAACTTTATTTTATATCGTTTTCTTCTTTTCTTTCCTATGCCTATCTAGCTAGCTTTACAGGGAGAGAGGCTTTATTAATGCTAATTATCAGTCTGTTTTTGACTGATTTTTTTACTTCTATTTTCAGTCCTTATCTCTCTCTGTTTTTCTTAATATGTTTCTAGTATGACCAGGATACTTTCTAGGATTTGCATGGATTATAGAGACTTAGCTACTATATACTCCTATCCCTAGATAGCAGATTACAATAAAGCTTAATTATAAGGGGGAGTGAGGTTATCTTTTTTACTACCTCTTGATCTATACTACCCTGGGCTGGCATAGGATTGTAGGTTCACTTATATATACTTTGTTTAATTAGGGTCTCTGAACATTATTTCTAATAGCCAGGTTCTATATTTGGAACATCGCGCTATACATAGATATATTTTTTCCAGTCAATGCAGTAAGTTTCATTCATATAATTGAGACGGTCTGCATATTTCTTTGTTCTTGGTTTGTTTTAATACATTTTATTTAGGACAAATAAAAATTACAAATATACATGTATGTGTTAAGCTATATTTAAATAACAGTTACGATTTATTACCTCTGCATTGAGGATATCAATAATACAAATACACCCTTCAAAAAACTATCGCAGAATTTTATGAAAACCAATACGCAAATACAGTACTGCAATTGCACCTATTTTTTTGTATATCAGACTAGACCTTACATAGAGTGAGTGCATCTGGCTGTCTGTCAAGGGTTTCACTTGTATATTTGCTGTAATACAAACTATACTTGGATACATCATTTGACATGGAATACTGGAAGTAGGACTCCTTTTGTTTCTCTGTGTATCTTTTGTGGAACTTGGAAGAACGCAATTCAAAAAACATGCAAAGTCAATCCCTACGCTCTTAGTGACTTCACTAACGGTAGATATAGCTATCACAGTGACCTGAGAGAACATGTTCTATATTTAAAGAAAGGAACATTTTTTGAATTCTTAAATAACAATTGTATGAACTGAAATTTCTATGTTCAATATTCTTCCCAATTCTTCAGTGGTTACGCAAAAGAGCAAGATAATTATTCTATAACAAATTGATCAAAGGTTATCAATTAAAATAAAATTTACTGAACCAATTTTTATGACCAAGAACTTTCATTTTTTTTTTTTATGTATTTCAATGATTTTGGTTATTTCTCTAGTAAAGCTGAATATTCGTTTTTAATGGGTCTCTCAGTATTGTCATAAATATCAGAGGCACCGAGTGGCCAATATTTATTTTTCAAATGTGTAGTAGCATAGTGTACCACTTGTCACTGTGAAAACTCTGTCTAAAACTGTCTCTTCCAATGACAGATAAACCAGAAAAAAACTAAAGGAAATGTAAAGCTGCATAAACAGAAAATATTAAATAATTCCAAAGGTATATGCCATCTGAGCAAATAGGGTATGGTTTATCACTACCATTACAAACACAGAATGTGATGGCAGATAATAACCATTCGGCCCATCTAGTCTGCCCAAGAATACTTTCATTAGTACCTGGCCTTATCTTATAGTTAGGATAGCCTTATGCCTATCCCACGCATGCTTAAACTCCCTCACTGTGTTAATCTCTACCACTTCAGCTGCAAGGCTATTCCATGCTTCCACTACCCTCTCAGTAAAGTAATACTGCCTGATATTATTATTTTTTTCGTGCCTGTTAGTAGGTGATCTTTTTCCCATTTTAGTTTGTTGGATGGAAAAGAACACTTGCATTTTTCAAACTTTCAGTTAATGGACCTGTGAAGAACTCTTTGATTTTGAATTAAGCATGCATAAATGAGGTGCTGTTGAGTTAATTACATAGCACAAATCTTTTGAGATTTACTTAGGCACAGATGGGATTGAACCCATGATCTTGATCATTTGGTTTTATGAGACCAACGCCATACCACTTGGCCACTGCACCTTCTTGTAAATGTGCATTTTGAATCTAATATCCCGCAAGCAATTCTTCAATACATTTACTTATTTAATGTGTATTGGGCCTAAATTGTGCATGTAGACTTTCAGCTACTTCTATGATTTCAAATAAGAAGTTATGTTAATCTTTGTACATCTCTTCTCCTTTACCCTCAATTGTGTAAATAGTTTGGTGTTGGCTGAAGGCTGAATTAACAATGACTTATACAAGACAATGTGTTATAGTGTCACACAGTACATTATACAGTTAGACAGCTAAGAAAAATAATAAACCATGTCAATGCCAAATCACAATGACTCTTTAAATGCAGAGAAAGTTGCTAAACAATATCAAATAAATGGTCAAATTCAGCATGTTGTATCAAATAGAAGTTTTTATTTATTTACTCTTTTTAAGGAGAACAATTAACCCCTTAAGGACATATGATGGAAATATTCCGTCATGATTCCATTTTATTCCAGAAGTTGTGTCCTTAACGGGTTAAAAGAAAGAGGTAGGGCACAGGCACATCTTTAATAGCAAGTTATATAAAGGGCAATGGTAATCAGTAGATTACCAGGAAATCCCCACATTTTCTCCTATGCTCGGTGCCTGTACTGAAGAAGAATATCACACATGGAAATAAAAGAGATAGCTATGCACAGTTGTGTAATACGCCTTATAATTGTCTCGGCTTATTTCATTTTGTTGGCATCTCATATCTCTTACCTGAGTCTCCTGGCGTTCTCTGTGATGCTGCACGCTCGCACAGTGTCGGGTTTTATGTGCATCTGAATTCGGATCAGAATGGTAAATTCACCAGACTGATATGGGTCCAAATGGCGAATTAGCAGGACCGAATCCAGCACACAGATATGATGTTACCAATCGGTCAAATTAAGATTGAAGCAAGAAATTCCTCTTTGACGTGGGCCAATAGAACGTAAATACTGACCTCTGCCACTCCATGTAGCCCTGTTGTGATTCTAGAAGCCCATTCCTTTTCCTGGTATTTGATTTCTGTCTGCTCATTCATGTTTCCTGATCTCTGAACTCCTCTGACCTTGGCTTGCTTGAACATTTATCTGTATCTCTCCTGTCCTTAACTTTGGCATTCTCTCTGACACTTCTACACGCAAAGTCTATTTATAGTGTATAGTCTGCACGTTTTAGTCCCACACCGATTCTGACAGATTTTATAAATGACTTACAAACTTAAGAACCTATTGAAAAAGAATCTCAGTATTGGTGTTCTATTAAATATGGAACTTAATATTTATTATATATCACTCTATAGGATCACAAACAGATATATTTCGAAAAAATTTCTAAAAGTATTGAATTCTTTGGAAAGCTTATTAAATTGAGGACTATGAGGTGTAGATGAGGTGTAGATGTACATACCACATTCTCTCCAATTACTGGTATTACCACTAATTGACTCTATTTTTATTTTTACCTATTAGTTATACATGGTATATATTTTGTAACGTGCTTTTGCAAGTATTGTATCATATTGTGATTAAGGGATGATTAAAATAAGGAAATTCAAATAACATGATATTTTGATCTCAAAGAAAAATATATTGTGTGGGTTATAATAATACATCACTGCATTCTATTCAAACATACAACTTGAAAACTATATGGATATTTAATATGGTAGATTAGTTAGTCATAACACGGGTCTTGAGGTTCATAGAACATATACTATTAGTTAGTCGAGACCCCTTGGTGAACTATAGCTTTTGGTTGTTGTCACTAACACTTTATAATTGAATAAGAGGTTTTGCTGTGTTGCGTTTATGCTTCTTTTTGCATCACACATACTTGATCTTTTATTTGTGCGGACTTGCAGATCAAAACACAAGCTATTGTGTCACCACATACCACGTTCCTGACCGTGAGTTTTGGAACTTAGTTTTAAAAGACTTCACTACATTTGGCAGTTTTTGCAATTGTTAATAATTAGTTGCTTGGGATAAGTACTACAAGCAGATGCTGATATTAAGGAAACACCTCTTCCATGAAAATTGGGCCCATTTTCACTTCCAAAAGGGCGAACAAGACATTACAAAGCTATTTGCTGCTAACTCCCCCAGGCATTGATAAGACTAAATTGGTGATCTTAAAACTTTCTTCTCTAATCAAAATCAGTCAGTGCCAGCAGGGTTCCCTTTAAATACTTTTTTTTGAGGAGTATAACCATGAAAAAGCTTAGAAAAGAAAACACCCCGCAGTTCACATTGTCAACTTTTCTTCCACTACACAGCCAACAGAGCTGGTTTTTATATTGATTACTTTTCTGTTAACTATTTCATTATGTGATAGGACACATAAAAATTCTTAGATGGAACACTGAACACTTTTATTTTGTTACTTTTTTTTAAATTAACTGTTAACCATTATTTTTAGCTATCAATGAAAAGGAATCTTACTCATTCTGAAAAAAATATGTTTTGAACAACATATGTTAATCATTGAACTTTATATTTATTAATGTGTTTGTATTATTTCGATAACAAAGCAAATTCACCTAAAACCCTCTGAAAACATGCCTTCATTTGTAATAAAAGCATGCATTTGTTAATAGACTTCATTTTATGAAATATAAAAAAAATACATTCTTCTTAATGTAGGTGTTTTCTGGTACAACACAATGTACAATGAGATGTTAATGATTGCACTCACAATAGTCAAATTATAACAAAGAAAATCTTTAAAAGCATTTTTGTGCTGTAATTATATCTGGTTTTTTTGGCTAAGTTATAGTCCTAGGCAACACATATAAAAGTGTAGGTTGTATCAAACAAAAACAAGACTATTTCATTATGTAAATATTTAAGAGAAGAACGTTGACTAGAGGACTGCCAGAGAGTTTAACACAACCCTCAAGACTGTTTTTGTTCAATATGCTAGACTGGCATGTGGTGTTGTACTCCAAAGGTAAAATATTTCTCATACAATCCCACAAAGAATTCTAGAACAGGAAACTGTTTTTTTTCTTTTCCAAAGCAAAGTGGTCAAACCACATAAACGAAGTGCATATGAAACTGAACAACATTTGGCAGGTCATTCAGAAATAGCTTGGTGGACATCAGGTACAAAAAAAAAAAACGGATTTACGGGGAAATTAAGTTAAATGATTTCAAGTTCCATGACTGTTTAGGTAAACATGTGTAATTCCTTAAGTTGTTTTTCCATTTTTAACACTCAGGCAATCCAGTATGTGCTTGTGGAACGGAGAATAGTATCCAAGCATTTACAAAATGGTAAATCACAATATTTAATTCATCATCAGTTTCCTGGGCATTTTAAGTGTTTATCCATTGCTGTCAGATGTAGGGGGAGATTTGTATGTCATTACAAAAGAAGGGAAAGAGCCACAATGGAATGATATGGGATTTGGTATGAAATATGTGTGTTTTTAAATTTAATGATTTTTAGTAGTATGCCTTTTATGATTCAGGATCTGATTAATATTATATAATTATATATGTCCCTTGTTATTCATTTGCTAACTGGTCTCATGGTCTATTGGTAAACATTGTACTTCAGTACAGCAGATTAAGAGTAATATTTTTTTGTATATAATAGAACTTGATCATTTAGGCCCGTTTCAAGAAGTAGAAATGAATGTGTGATACATGACAGATACATAGAAACATATGATTCCATAATGTCATACATTTCTATAAAAGTATACTCAACAGAAGCATAGAAGCCCACATGCCTCCTGTAAGCAGTTTGCGCTATATTCAGCCTACGATTTAAGGCTGGATATAACCTGCAATGCATAGAAAACCCTGATCACATGAGCTCCCACCCATGTATTGTTGCTATGTTTAAAGAAATGTTTAAAGTATGTAGGTTTATGGATGTTTTGTGTAACCTTAGGAACCAGGTGAAAGCCATTTTACATTCTTTGTTCCTTTTCCTCTTGTCGTGTCGGATTCCTGAATCCTCTGGCAGAATGAGAGCAATATATTGTGTCTTCAAAGAAACTCTCCAAGTGCCACCAAAGTGAGAAGTCACAGGCTAAAAGACAAAATTCAGATACAACGCTTAGACCATGAGGCCCTAATCATGTGCATACATGATTAAGCCCTCACAGCAGATCCTGGACCCCTTTCCTCAATGAGCAACTGAATAGCCACCAACCTTACAGTATGTCTTTCCTGTATACAGACACACCTACTCTGTTTTGCAGTGTAACTGTCTTACGCGCTCCTGCTCTGTTTCCTGCACTGATGTCTCCATCTTGTCCCTGGCTGTGTGTCAATAAGCATAGACTGGGGGCTACTAGTGTTATTCAGTTATTGTAAATAGGAATACACTGTAGGTAAGGGTGTTGCTAGTTAATTGTTTTAGTGTTGCCTCATTAAGTAAGTGGCACTGTGTGCAAATTCTCAATTAAAAGGCTTAGTATAGAGGGCAAACCTCACTTGTGTCATATACATCCTGTTTGGGCAAAGAAGAAACATGACAGGTGTATAGTCGCCATTTTGGGCAGTCGGAATCCAGGACAACCACCCCATAACCCAACCCAATAACGCACATACTAGAGGATATGGGGAAATATGTCCACAGCTTTATTTAGCAAACAATAATAATAACAATAATAATCATAATAATAACTTAACAAGTAAACATGGGTCATTGCCCCCCATACTCCGCCCTCGCATCCTATTCCTTCCATTAACATATAAAGGGCAATGACCCCCATATAAATAAACATATATATATAACATACATCAACATTATTCCAATCGATGTAAAGTGCCAACCATCCATTAACCACGGCAGGGGTATACCCGGATACCCCTACCCCACCAGGTTCTGAGCCACCGACAGGACTCGAAACCTATCAACCACCAATGACCACCACTTGTTTGTCTTCCATTACGTTCATCCTGGGGAGCCTATTTCCTCTCCTTCAGCTCCCCGTCCCGCCGCTGTGAAAAAACGGGACAAAACCACACATAACAAAACAGGGAGGGTGGGTG